CCCCCGCCCCAGTCCAAAAAGTGTTTTTTCAAGAAGCAACGGGACTTTCTGGGTTTTCTCTGAAGACGTTATGCTTCTGATCCAAGAAGCTTCTTCAGATACCTCCAAGGAATCCAAGGTTGCTAAAGTTGGAATCTTTTGCACATGACAACTGCTCTCCACATTCAGTAAATGTCTCCGTACAGGGGGTCCTTGTATAACCACTGCCTCGTTCGGTGACTGGTTTACCATTACAATGATGATGAAAAAGAAGAAGCTTCTTGGATGAGAAGGGAAAGGGTCTTCAAAAGGAAAAAAACCCCTAAAAGTCCAGTTTCCTCTTGAAAAAGCATTTTGGGGACAACCATGACCTGGATGACTGAGAATCTCCATAGACACTTGGCCCGTTGAGGTCTTGAGAGGTCCTTGGTGCTCTCTAAGTTTCCCGACATTTTCTTGCAGATGTTTCATTAGCAATAGCACTTAGACTTAAATACCGCTTCACAGCCCTTTCTAAGACGTTTACAGAGTCAGCATACTTGCCCCCAACAATCTACCGTATTTTTCAGAGTATAAGACGCACCCTTTTCCCTCAAAAAAGAGGGTGAAAATCTGGGTGAGGCTTATACACTAAATACAGCATTTTTGGCCTCCTGAAACCCTGCCCCCTTCACCAAAATGACCATGCATTGCCTTTAGGAGGCTTCTAGAGTGCTCCTGGGGGCTGAGGAGGGCGAAAATGAGCAAAAAATGTCACTTTTGCTCATTTTTGTCCCCCCCAACCCCCAGGAGCACTCTACAAGCCTCCTAAAGGCTATTCATGCCTTTTTTTAAAAAGATGGGCCTGTTTTCGCAAAAAACGGGCTGTTTTTGGGAGGTCTCCAGAGTGCAAAACCTTTTTTAAAAAATTGCCTGTTCAAAATCTTGCTACATCTTATACTCTGGTTGGTCTTATACTCCGAAAACTATGGTAGGTCCTCATTTTACCCACCTCGGAAGGATGGAAGGCTGAGTGAACCTTGAGCCTGGTAAGGTTCGAATTGTGAAATTGCAGGCAGCCGGCAGGCAGCAAAAGTAGCCTTTGCATTACCCAAACTAGGTAACATCATCAGTGCTAGAAAGTAAGGGTATGCTCTCTGTTATAGACAGTAACTTGCCCTGCTGGTATAATGGAAGTGTAGTTTTTCTCCTTGGTAATTCCTTGATTAAGTTATTGTTTTTTGCTTCTTTGTCTGGTGTTAATCCCTGCTTATCTAGGTGTTGATTGCTGGAGAAGTACAAACCATAAGGACAAAAACACACCTCCACCAACACCAGCAGGGTAAGCTACTATCTATAAACTGACAGCAAAGCCCACTCCTTACTAGCGCTGATGATGTTACCTAATTTGAGTAGTGAAATGTCTGCAAGAAAACAAGCAAGCTCAGAGAGTGCCAAGGACAGAGCCGTATGGCAGTTCTCAGCTGCCTTCAGAGTCCGACATCAGTGAGGCAGAAGAACAGCTGGAGCCTGTTCCCAGTGTGCGAATGTGCAGAGTTACCGGATGAAAGAAACAGCTAAAGAACAGGGGGCAACTTGGGAGTAAAGCCACAGGGAGACGATTAATGGCCCCTCCCAGAGGAAATAAAAGAGGAGCGAAAGGGGAGTGGCATTTGCAGGAGACAATCAGTTCGCTTAATTGGTTTGTGACTCTCCGAGGCTCCTTGCCAAGTTTTGCAGATATCCGCCTGGCAGCCAGATAAAGTCTGTGACTGTAAATCCTCCTTTGAAAGACTTTGAACTTTGTGAATGAGCAGAATTCACAGTCAATTAATAAAAGAGAGTTTGGTTGGGACCAGGAGTTTGCTTCATGCTCTTGGGAAGCCTCGGTCAGAGCACAACCTTGGAAGTAACCTGACCTTCCTTTGAAGGACCTCTGAACATGCTTCCACATGGAATTCTTTTTCTTCCTCAGTGTTCTCCTTTCCATCTTCATTCTGAACAAATGCCCTCCAATTTGATAAAAATAGTCTATTCAAGAGCTGGAAACGAATCCACAGCTAAAGAAATGGGGCCAGAATGCTGGATTTGCATAATATATTCTCCATATCCAATTGAAGACTCCATAAGTAGTTGTTGCTGCTTACCCAAATATCTTACTGTACTTCTCTGGGGCTCCTGGGAGGACACTTAGAAAGGTCCTTTGGTGAAGCAAAATGGGAACCGAGAACCGGTTACGACAGAGGTTGGGATGGGCACTGATAAGAGGTGATATTCCTTATCAGTTCACAAATGTGAGCAGGCACACAGCCTTCCGCACATGCGCTTTTGGTGAACAAAGGGCCTAAATGGAATGCCATAGAGCCAGGGTGAGTAGGCAAAGCCATCTGTGATTTCCACTACAGGTCTGGGTGAACCGGTCCGAACCGGTAGAATACCACCTCTAGCACCAATGTCAGAGGTGGGTTGCTCCCAGTTCATCGGGCAAACTGGTAGTAGCAGCGGTGGGAGGGTCTGCCCACCCGCCCAGACGCTTCTGCAAAAGCACAAGCGCACCCAAATTGGTAGTAAAAAAATTTGGCAACCCACCAGTGGCTAATGTATTTGGCAAATGAAATCTACCATATTTTTCTGAGTATAAGACTCACCGGAGTATAAGACGCACCAAGATTTTGAAGAGGCAAATGAAAAAAAAAAAGTTTTTGCACTCTGCAAACCTCCCAAAAATAGTGCATTTTTTGTGAAAAAGGACCCGTTTTTTTCCCTTTAAAAAAGGCATGAATAGCCTTTGGGTGGCTTGAAGAGAGCTCCTGCGGTGTGCCCCCCCCCAACAAGCAAAAAAGCCCATTTTTTGTGAAAACAGGCCCATTTTTTGACAAAAAAATTACATAAAATAGCCTTTAGGAGGCTTATACAGTACTCCTGGGGGCTGGGGGGGCTGTTGAGCAAAAAACAGGCCATTTTTTGATCATTTCTGCCCTCCCCAGCCCTCAGGAGGTCTCTGAAATCCTTCTACAGGCTCTGCACGGCCATTTTGGTGAAGGGGCGGGGTTTCGGGAGGCCAAAATTGCTGTATTCAGTGTATAAGACGCACCCAGATTTTCAGCCTCTTTTTTGAGGGAAAAAGGTGCATCTTATACTCTGAAAAATATGATAATTAAAGAGGAGAGCCATAGTATCCAGGAGGAAGCTGTTGAGGAATTACTTTGAGTTGCTTAACCAGCCATTCCAGACGCGAACTCACAGGCAGTCCTCGACTTACTGACCTCAACTGAGCCCAAAAAGTTCTGTCGTTACGTGAGACATTTGTTAAGCGAGTTTTGCCCCATGGTTCGACCTTTCTGGACACAGTTGTTAAATGAACCACCACAGTTCTTAAATGCATAAGGAAGTTGTTGAGTGAATCTGGCTTCCCCATTGACTTCGCTTGTCAGAAGGTTGCAAAAGGAGATTGCGTGACCCTGGGACACTTGCAACCGTCATAAATATGAGTCAGTTGCTGAGCTTCTGAATGTTGATTGCGTGACTGTGGGGATGCCGCAATGGTGGTAGGTGTGAAAAACGGCCATAAGTCACCTTTTTCAGTGCCGTTGTAACTCTTCTCTGAACTCTTTCTAGAGCAGTGTTTCTCAACCTTGGCAACTTTAAGTCCTGTGGACTTCAACTCCCAGAATTCCCCAGCCAGTGAGAGCTGGCTGGGGGATTCTGGGAGTTGAAGTCCACAGGACTTAAAAGTCACCAAGGTTGAGAAACACTGTTCTAGAGTCTCAATCTTTTTTACATTATGATGGTGTTGTTTATGTCCCCCTCTGTTCATGGATGTCCCTGAATTTAACAACATGTTACCTGTAATCCTGGGATATTCTTAAAACAGGAGGTTTCCCACACAGTCTCGT